AAGTTTGTAATTCATATTATGTAGAAAGCAAAGAATTAGTTTCCTGACAGCCTTATGCCTGTCTGTGTGTATATAAAATAAGTAAAAATAAATCAAGTGGGTAATGGAATTCTGAACTCCATATTTTTTCATTTTGTCTCCGGCCATCATATACAGGTGAATACCAACTTTTCCCAATTCAAATTCACTGACACTGTTGTCAAATGACTTCTTATAATATTTATATGGTTGCATTCAAAAATCTGTACTGCCTTTTTTTCCTCCTCCCTCTCTCTCTCTCTCTTTCAAATTCTGTACAGTGGTTTAAATTCAAGCTTATGGTCATTTAAATATTAGCACCGATATTCAAACTTAAAATGATTACTTAGTTACTTATTTTAGTGCATCATTTTACTTGTAATTATTTTCACATAAAGCAAATAATAGTGCATTATTTAAACAAATTAGCCATAAATAATCAGCAGTGCCTTTTTATAGCCATCTGTCATTGCCAATTAAGTTTGTTTCTACATTTATATAAGTAGGGAAGTGATTAATTATAAATAATACAGTTGATCAAAATAAGTACTGTGTACTTTGCTGCCATTAAATATGAGGTCAGTAACCTGTCAAAAATGACCTGATGATTTACATGTGGCATTTCTGATTTAGATCAAAATGCTGTTACCTGTTAATGATCAGTGTATTATCTGTATATTCCAAAGTGTTGCACACAACACACATAAGGGGTGTGCTCCAAAAGTAATGCATCCTATTTAGTTCCACAGAAGCTTCAAGAGAGAGCACAATCATACTGTTAGATAAAACTTTCACCAACAGAACACTATTTTCCCTACATAATCACCATCTTTGGAAATGCATTTTCTCCAGCCTTGATAAAATTATAAAAAACAAAAAATTTGCATCAGCAGTGGTGCCACACTTTTTCATGCACATTTTCTGATACCACTTCTGAGATGTGTTACCCACCAAGCTGTGACTGAACTTTGTAAATATTCAGCAAGTGCCAATGTATGTCAAGGTGTAGGATTTTTTCCACAGGAATTGAACCATGCCTTGTAAACACTTTCATGTCAGATTCCATTGTGCCAAATAGTAGTTCAGCTGCTATCTTGTAACAAGGCAGAAAAAAAATATGTATTATTTTTGAGAAAGTCCATCTTTACCTGCTATACTGTCAATATAATAAATTTGGAAGCATTACTTTTGGAGCGACTCTAACGTGTGCACACACACACACAAGTCTCAGCACAAATTTTGAAGTAATGGCTCATGTTCAAAATGTCAAAATGCATTGAATGATTCAATGTACCAATACAAGAGACATTGAGGATAAATTGCTTAGGACTTTTTGCATAGATAGTCTCATGAACTTTTGTGATGTTTTTTGGTGCCATGCCTGTCAACAATCATGTATCCACCCTTGAAGGATTATCAGATTTAAACATCTAGGGTTTGTTTTTTCATTATTATTATTTCTTTCTTTCTTTCTTTTTTTTTTTTTTTTTTTTTTTTTTTTTTTAAAGCTTAAATCAAAATTTGATGCAGATCCTCTCTTCTTTCAAATTTCTACCATTTTAGAAAGAAAGGAAAATTCCCAAACCACTGCCTTTGAAAAATGCTTAAAACATGGCCTCTCAACTTGCCTGCTCACAAAAGGTTGCAGCAAAAGTTTGTACTATTTTCAGTTTGTGTTCTGTCCAGATTTCTTAAAAAAAAAATTGGACAACACCTGATATTTGATAAAAGTTATTCATCTTCATTTATATTTAGCCAAATTCCCACACCCTATTCCATCAAAGGGAAGGAAAAAAAATTAATTCTGGGATTTTTATTTGAATTTCAAAATAATTTTACTGTGATTAATTTATAAAAATCATGCATATCATACTTTGAACAAACTTATCTATTTGCTGATACTCTGTAGGTACCTCCACTATTATTGGTATAAATTTTCAATACCTAAGGTTTAAAATTAATTTTTAAAAATGAAAAAGCATTCTTGAAGATTTCATTTTAGCTTTAATTGAAAGCTAAATGATTAAATTTATTATTTCCACTAAGTAAAATATTCTGGTGTATTTCAAATAGAAATTATATAGCTTGGAATGTCAAATACTTGCTTGATCTTTTTAATTTTCTTAAAAGCAGCCATTTTCTTAATTTTAAGAAATTTGTAAACAAAACAAAATTATCAGTTATAAAAATCTTCCAAAAATAAAATATATCTTTCTGAAACATTATTTGAATAAAATTAGAAAATTTAAACTTAAATTAATCTGATTTGAAATAAATATTACTTATTTATAGTATAAAAAAGTAATATACAAGCATTTCTTAATGACAGGTCTTGATTTTCTTTGCTCTTTATTGATGTATTGATAAGTTCTGAAATGATGACAGCTTGTATGGATGATCAGAATTGACATAAAAAAAAAATTTTAACCAAAATTTTCTAAAACAAAAAATTTAAAAAATAATTTCATTCATTTGTGAATAAGTCCTGAAAGTTTCATTAAAATCCGACAATTATTTGATTTTTGCAAGAATTTACAAGTTAATGTGTTCATGTTTTGCTGTTTTTTCCACAAAAAGTGGAGGTACCTAATATTGTGGCTTAACTGATGCAGATCTGGTGATGATAATTGACACATGCATACATTCTCATATGGAATATTCATAGTAACTGTGCAAAGCTTTTGGATTATCGATATTTTGTTTTAAGATCTCATGGGTTTTTTTCCCCACTTCTATGATGACCATTGAAGTATTCATAAAGTCAACATAATTTTTTTTCTCTTGTTAAATAACCTATGGACATGTTCTTCAAAATTTCATTTGTCTTATATGTACGAAAATTATCTGATGGCCATAGTTTACATATAATACACACATACACACACGCACACTGGTGTAATATATAAAACTTATGCATTAGAAAAGCAGACCATTATTGTTCTAAATTTACTAATTCATAATCACTTATAAAAGAAAAACAAAAAAAACTGATATGTGAGCATCTGAAAAAGTCTCTTTTTGGATTTTGATTGCAACCCTATGAAAAAATATTTTATGAAGCTAATGTAGAAAAAAGAATCTTGTATATTTATTCTATGCAGTGAGAAAAAATTACTGACTCAAGACAAGGATTATTTTAATGCACCTTCACCAAATGACTCAAAAATTTGAAACGCTTTTCTGAATGCCTATCTTGTCAGAAGATCTATTGTATAACATATACTTATTTTTTAAACCGACTTCATGTATAGTGTAACCCCTGAGCTTTTTTGCATGAATTTTAACCCCCCAGTAAAATTTTACCTGTGTATAGTGCAACCTGTCACCAAAACTGCATGATTTCAACCTCTTCAAAAAAAAAAAAAGAACCCCTCCCCAACCTATTTTGCTTAAAAATCTGACCATAAAAACTTATACTATACATGAGTCTATATGGTAAGTTATTTGGAAATGCTTTAATCACAACAAATGGTGTTGGTGCATAAATTCTGACTTCTGTTAAATGAAGTGAATTCCACATTATAAATTAGTTTCATTAAATTTACAATAATCTCCTTCAACAATTTTTGTTGCAGTCTCTGTATTTAAGTTGAGTCAAATGTTATGTGCAGCAAGACTTGCTACTCTTGATTAGCAAAAACTCAAACATCTACAGTAATATCTTTTTGCTATCCACATTGTGTATTTATTATGGAAGCATTTTCTTGTCATTGTAAATTGAATAGTTTTTGTCTTTTAAATCATCTGAATTTCTTATTAATAATTTTGACTCTATTTCTTATGATTTTGTGTGTTGCTTTTTATCAAAACACTGCAGCCATTTTAAAGCAAACAGTATAATTATCAAAAATAAAGAATTAGCTTCCAACAAGAGTTACACCAATATTCCATCTTTTTGGTGTCTATTTGACATGGATGCCTCCTGAAACATATGTACTACTAAAGGTTTTAATGAAACTGGCAAAGTCATATCTACAGCTATATGGTTACCACATATTAAGGTGAAACCAAATTAGTTGTTAAGTTTTTCTTGTATTTCAATATTGCTTTTCATCAAAACTTATCTTATCAATCTATATGGATCTGAAATAAAGAATAAACATCTAGCATGATTTGAACTTTCATTCTTTTTGTCTTAGAAAACCTTTTTATACTTTATTTTTCATCTGCACTATTTACTTCCTACATATCATCTAAACCAATAGCTCTTTTTGTTTTCACCACCTCTTTTAAGATATTTGCATGAGTTGGTGGCCTCTTTGTTAAAAAGCACTGATAAATGGAGTAATGTTAATGCAACAGAATTAATGTCATCATGTGTTCACGTTTTGCCATATAATAGCAGAACTAATCATAAGAAGCTCTAATGTGAACAGTCGAGTGGTGGTCACCACATCAGAACCCATAGATGATGCTGAACATTACTCTGCAGGCTTTTGCTCTATACAATCATTGCACATCAGTAAATGTAAATATACAGACAAAAAGATAAACAAATGCAAATTTAAAATTTTCTGATTTCTTTCATTCAGAATTCATAGTACCCTTTTAAGGACATTACCGCTAATCAGTTAAGAATCACTGATCTAAATTTATTAAATTTTTGAAATCCTAGCAAACTTGGTGAATTTGAATTACACTCTTAATCCTTATAATGAAAAGCAAGTGAAAAACTATCAAAAGCAATGGTTTGCCAATGCCTCCTTTTAGGAAACCTGTTTTACTCCATCTAAAATTTGAAATCGGTGTGACAGTTAAGAGCATGCTTGGCACCAGAAATTGAACCATGCATCTCTTGGTTCTCTGTCCAATATCTCCTGCTGCTGCTGTACCCTCAAGTGCCAGAAACCTGTACAGATATATACAAAATTTTGCAACCTCTCATCTCCACAGCAACTGAAAAACTACTAACCCTTACCTCTCTATACCTATTTGTTTTTCTCACACTTCTTTGACTTTTGAATATTGTTTCTCTTGCACAGGTACCAGTGGAATGGGGGCTTCCATGGCTACTGGATATGACAATTACAGTGCCGGCCTCTCAGCTTCATATTCACGAAGTAAGATTTTCTTTTATTATTACAATTTTTATCTTCATTCAAAAACAGAATCTTACATGACATTATATTTTTGA